TAAGCAGTGCATCTGTGTTGAGAGTAATAAGTCCTACTTTATCTGGTTTACACCTATCCGATTGCAAAGATCATTAAGCGCCATGATATTCAGTGCTCTCAAATATATATCTCGTGTAAGACCGACTCGAAAGTTGATTTACAGGCCCTGGTTGTTCAAACGTTGGATAGCGCTATCCACCGGATAAATCACTATCCAGTGGATAAGTATTAGGGAAAGCGATTAAGCTATCCGCTGGGTAGTGATTTATCCGGTGGATAGGGCTATCCAACTTTTAAACAACTGGAGCCAGATGAATAAATCAAAGCAGGTTGAATTGTGTGTTAAAGGCATTTCAACTTGGATGGTTCATAATGCTTTAAATCTAAACCAAGATAAATCGGAACTACTTGTCTTTTCATCCAAGTTTCTTGCTGAACCTGAATTGAATTGCATCAATGTTGTCGATCAACGCATTAAGCTTGTTTTAAGTGCCAGAAATCTTGGGGTAGTTTTTGTCAGTTTTTCTTTCTCCAGATGATCACATATTACCAATATGTAAATCAGCACAGTTTTCCTTAAACAGGGGCGGGGGGGTGGTAGCGAGGTCTGGGGCTGAGCTTACATGATCAGCCCAGTTAAGAAATTTGGCCGAGTGAGACTGAGTACTGAAAACAAATATGGCGGAGAATGCAGACATCAAAGGACGATGAGTTTTTGCTCGGTTTTAAGTTTTCCCGCGTCCAGACATCAAGAGAACGTTTTCATGAACTTTTTTAATGAATTTTTGGAAATCAGGAGGCGTGATGTATGAACAGTTCATGGGTGACTTCACTTATCGTGATTCGGCATCTCGGCAAGTTTAGTTATTTATAGGCTTCGTGAATTTTCGAGCGACCAGTTCGAAGCATGGTTGGCGTTAACCAGCGTTTAATACCTTGACAACGTATTGGTTTTGATACTGCTTAACCAGTGGTTAAAGCTAACCATGCTTTGAGCAACTCAGCCCACCGAGCTCCATCTGTCATATTTTTCCACCTACAGTGGTATTAAGAACTCTCTTCCTTATCCTAAACATATGCTACAAGCTCGCTATATCAGTATGAGTCTTGCAACAGTCATATGGGAATGTTCATTAAACTAATTTTCTACTACGCTGTTCGTAAGTTTGTTTGTACACCGGGAGCAACAACAAATATTTATGGGCGTTAATACAGAATACAGGGCCAATTTAGTAAAACCCAGGGTAATGTTCCAATCGCGTTGCTTCACATATACGTGGTCTGTCAGTATATTAAGCTATTTTCAATATCAGAAGGCTGGGAGGGGTTTACTGAATCTTAAAACACTTCACTGGAATACTATTTGAGTGATAAGCAATAAATTTCCAACAGCAATACCTGTATTTAGCAGTTTTATATTAGATGGTGAGTTCGGTTTCAAGTATTTCCTTGAAATTGTTTGTACAAAAATTACCCTATAGTTCTGAATTATACTTGAAATGATTATAATGGTTTAGTGTGGGGACAAGAGGCTAATCAAGTTGGTTATAAGAGTGGGTACATCAGAGAAGGGTATGCATTGAAAAAACCCTCAAAGGACTGAAGTGCAAGAAACAGAAAAAGAAAATTGAATGTTTTGCAAAGTTCATAAAGAGAATCAGAAGGAGCTTGAAAAATGTACAACTTCAATTGTTTGTGCAAGTTATGAATCTGATTTACAACTAAAATAAACAACATAAAATTGATTTTTTATCAACCATCAAAAGAAGTTATTGTGAATATTGTCCCTTGAGCCCAATCCCCTCGGCAGTTCTCTCTGTGATACTACCCTTGGCTTATTTGGCCTAGATGGGTATGTGCCGTTATTTAGGGTGGTGATCATTTCACCCTTTAGAGTTTTGGACACGGTGTCTGTTTGGGCTGTGAATGGTTGAGAAGAGCAGTCTGTAGTTACATTTTTGGTACCACCATTTTTTTCCTCAATTTTTTTCCATGTTTCTAAGTTTATAGAGAATACTTCATAGAAAGTGCTGGCGTACGGTATTTACGCACGAGTTGTTGACGTATCAGAAATCGAACGAGTGATTGCAGCGAACGAGTAAGATTTCTGATACAAAAGCAACAAGTGCGTAAATACCGTACGCCTGCACTTTCCATGTGGTATTGTGTTTATTATATACATACTGAGACATTCATCATTTTGGCGGCCTTTTTATTTTAAATCTTTTAAAAATGCTAAAATTTTCCGCTACACACTTACCGCAAAATGACAACGAAAACGAAGTATCATCTTTTTAGTAAAAACGTTTGTTAAAAACATAAGTGACGGTAAGTATATGAGGTAATCCAAGAACTATAAGTAATCTTAACTGTTTGTTCGCAATGCACAATTGAAAATGAGTGAATTTAAGTAAAATTGCCGGTTTCAATATAAGCTTAAGCTTAAATGAAAGGCAAAGTAGCTCCGACAAAAAGCACAACAAAAGCTTACATCTCGTTCTATTTTTCCCTTTCCGCTGTTGTTTCGCCGGCTCTCTACCGTTTTCTTTATCGACAGTGAAACAAACGAAACTATTCCACTCCATTTCCGAAATTTTTTTCATTTTTTTAGCGAGAAAAACTCTTCGAGTAAAACTTTTCTCGCGAAGCGGCGCTGCAAGCCGGAATAAAAGGCGGGAATTTTGGCGCGAAATTCACACACCTCTGTGGCTTTTGATTGGACGTATCTTTTTTCTCACACGTGAAAAAAAAAAAAAACGTTCGCGATTCTGATTGGACGTATCATTTTTTTCACGTGTGAAAACCATCGTTCGCTCCTCTGATTGTCTAGAACTAATTTGCGTACGAAAATTTACGACATAGCTTTTTGGTGAGTATTTCTCAGTGTGTATATAATAAAAAGCTAACTTAATTCTGTATGCTAAATGAAATAAATAAGGATTCTAATATTAGGTCTCTTGGCTTAAGAAGGGTATGGAAACGGAAAAATGTGTCCTACTACCCATACTCTCTTTCAGTGCAAGCCCAGGGAGGTGATCTCACATTTTAATACCCTTTTACCACTTGTTGTAATAGCAAAGTCAGTGAAGGTTTATGGTATCTGAAATATCATGCCATTGCCTGCCTCAACACAAGTTTCTAATTGTTATTGTTGACTACAAATAATATTATCTTAATAATCATTTTACATATTTTTTCAAGGCATCCTATGGTGTTTTTCATATCCTCTAGTACAAGGCAATTTTTAAGCTGAGAGGGTTTGATTTCATTAACTACATTTTTATACAGAGACAAACTAACCTGGCAGGTTCATGTCCAAGGGTGTAAAAAATTACAGGCAACTGTGTATGGCAAAAACTGATGACAGTGGCCAGAGGAAAGGCGAAAAAGAAAATGTCACCATTTTCCTGACTTTACTTATAAATTCCCTTTGAAGCATATTTAGCCAGATGTGGTCCCTGTCACAACATGGAAACTTTAACATTTTCTTATTTTCTGCACTTAGCAAATCTTTTTTAAACCATAATCTTGTTCCAAGAAGTAGTGCAGTTTTTGGAATTTATAATTTTTCCCTCTTTGTTCGCAACAAATCACACTTGAATGAGGACTCAAACTGAAGGCAGTGTAGTGACTGCTGTCATAAAGAGAATTCCAAACACACAAAATAGTTACCCTTTCATTTGCCTAAGATTCATTTGTTAGAAACTACGGTAAAGTTTAAATTAAATCACACAAAGAAAAGAACCTACCCATATCAACATGTGCAAAATCAAGAGAGAATGATCTCTTGGCAAAATTTATTTAGCTCCTAGTGCATAAAGAAATACATAAACTACGAGATTGACCATGCCACTCAATCATCCAACGTAACTCTGCCAGGATAAATTCAGAATCAAGGATGTAGAATTAAGAATCTCAATCATCATTTCATGTCATCTTTTAATAAAGGTGTACTAAAACCGTAAACAACTCTGACAACTCTTCTACTCGACCACAGCCACTGCACTTTTTTTAATATCACGAAGAATTAATTTTGGGCTTTTCACTTGAAATACAAACTCTTCTACATAGGTATTGAAGGGTTGGCCCTCCTTTTAGTCTTGCGAGTCTTCTAAATATAAACACATAGTCAAAAGGTCGGGCATCGAGGAACATGTTCACTGGTCTCGTTCTTAGCCTAGTAAACCGCTTGTAATGACAAACGCAAGACCAGAAGAAAGGAAAACGTAAGTTCCATATTACCGCGGAAATAAATTGGCTACAGCAAGCCAAAGAAAGAACAGGACCAAAACCGAATTCATGTTGTTGTTCCAAACCCGTTTCGCGCATTCTCGCTACATTTCTCGGATGATTGACAGATTTCTTAACTGGGGCGATCATGCAAAGCCGAAAAGCGGCAAGATCAAAGGCCGTTGCCAGCCCTCCAACCCCCCACCCCCCGCGTTTAAAGTTGTAATTATGAAAAATGGAAGTTCGGGAACTAATCTCTAAGTAATGTCGGAGGACTGGAAAATACAAGCGCAGTGTTGAAACTGCTACGAGTAATGAATGGTAACAACAGCACATGTTTTCTTAATGTTAGCTCTTATGATTACAAAGCTCGTTGCCTTTCTTTAATTCCCATTAACATATAGATTTAGCCAAGACCAAAAGCGAAGCTCTTTTTAATACTTATACTTTCCTCAAAGAAAATATAAATTGAGTAATACTAAAGATAAGGTGAAGAAAACGAGAGCCGTACGTGCGGGTGTACGCTGACGTCATAACCAAATTTTCTTGGATAGATAGTAAGTTTACCTAATTTCCTTAGCTATGGGCCTCGCGCGCTTTCTTTTTTGATATTTTTAATATTTTTTTCCAACTTTTATTAAATACTCCACAGCGTTACAATACTAACGTTACATGGCATTGCATGATATTACTTCACAATACATTACAAATACATTACATTACACTATGAACTTTAACGGTAAAGTAACTATCCAAAAAAAAAAAACACGTTCTAAGTATACACGTCACTAGGATACAGAGTCCAAAGGCAGAGCCCACTTCTTATTAAATTTGTCCATTTCATTAGTTTTAACACATATATACTTTTCTGTTTCATGCTTAATTTTAACCTTGCATGAAAAGGCAGTTATGACTGGAAGAGTCTGATTTCTTCTACAACCCCATAAGTATAGTTTCAAATCAGTATCGTAAAGGATCAGTAAAGGGCCATTTGTATATAATATTCCTGCAATAACGTCCTGTAAGGTCAGACAGACGAATTCTCTTGTCAATGTGTAAAAGTAATATTGAAATTCCTTCAAAAACTGCTTGGTGTGTCTGCATTTGAAAAAAATGTGGTAAAGGGATTCCGAATCCGTTTGGGATAGTGAACATTTATCATCTTGGATATAACCTATTTTGCGTACCTTTTTATTGGTAAATAAACTTGAATTAAGGACTTTGTATTGAAAAGCTTTTAGATAAGGTTCAAACGCTACCTCATGTGGAAGAAGGAATACTTTTTTCAGCTGGTCTTGAGTAAGACTGAAATCTTGACACAAGTGTTAGCAATTTTCTGGATACTCGGCAATTATTCTTTTTATTAGCGTGTAGCAATCTTTAGATTTCTTTTTTAATATATCAAATTCTTTGTTATCGATTGTCAATATTAAGCTTAATTCTGAGCGAAGACAATTGCTTTTCTTTAAATGTGTTGTAACAGAATGACGAAGCCCTGCCCAAATTAGGTAGTTAATCTTGCTAATTTTATTCGAAACATTAGTAAAAGAATTTGTGGTATCTAATTCAACAAAAGATCACGCGCGCACGTGGAGCTCGGCTATAATAATTTTTCAGTGCGTCTTAGCATGTCTCCGATGACTGGTCTCACGAACGAGAAAATTAATCGACTGAAATTAGTGTGAAATTTGTCGGAAAACCCACCACAAACATTTCCGCTGATTCCGCAATGACAATGATAGCACATCCACTGAACGTCAAAACTAACTTGAAAAGCATTCACACCAAAGGTTAAACATGTGTCAAGCTTTTTAGTTTGTTTTCTTTATAGAAGTTGCTTACTGTACTTTTATCCCCTGAATGCTCATTCTTGACCTTGGTAAACAAACTTGAAAAAACAAATTCTAGTCAAAGTCTCAGATTTTGGTCTCGAAGCTTTCGACTGTATCGCAGAATTTTCATCAGCAATAAACGCTCAGCGTTGTCACGTGAATTAGTCACGTCAATTTGTCTATCGGCTAAACAACAAGGGTCAATATACGTTCTATAATATTATTGATATATGAGTATAATTGTCTTTACA